TGAGCTAAAATTTATTTTAAGACTGAGTCTTTCTTCATCTGAGTGGGAGCTTTCACAGTGAAGCCTGGCAGGCACATAAGACACATTGAAGAGAGAGCCTAAATAATATCTGTAGATATGTACAGAAGGAAAATAGATGTAGAGGACAAAGAACATAGTTTGGGAGAGTAGAGCACTATGCTCTGAATCATTTTTCCAGTTAGTTGAACTTGATTTTGACAGCCAGCAAGGCTCTAAATGTGTCTTTCATCAAGAGTGGTAAGTACTAAGTTAGAGGGTAAAGAAGGATTTCTGATTTTGATAGATTTCTTTGTTCAGAAATCCCAGGAGGTTCTTATGCTTCTGTGAAAAATGTGAGGAATTTGAAGTGTTTGATTTTGTTAATCTTTAAGTTGTTAAAACCCATGATACACTGTTTTCTTTGGGAAGATTTTGTACGCAGTTAACACTTGGATTTGAAGTAAATGCTAATAAGCTTGTTTTACCTAAGACATTTATGTGTTTGAATGTGCAAGGAATGTAGACTGTTGCTTATGATCCCAGTCATTTGTTTCTATAATTATTTAAATATTGTTTATTTGGGTGATTTGTTTCTGTAATTATGTAAATATGGTTCATCTGAGTTTTCAAATATTTTTAGATGTATGGGGTCCATACATTTGCTCAGGTGATTTTATTAGTTGAGATCCTTGGCCTGTCCATTTCTCTCCAAGTGTTTCTTGTTAGTAACTTTTGAGCTTGTTGAGAAACGTCCCTGACTTGAAAGGGCAGTGACCTTGAAATGAAGGTGCAAGGATGAGATGTTGCTATTAGTGTTTCTGCTGAAGGAGAAGACTTACTTGCCCTTTATATGTTATTTTCTAGTAGCATGTGACTGGCAAACCAATTTGTTGTTAGCTATGATATTTTTTGGTTTATTGCTACAATAGGATGGCTCAAGAAATGTAAGTTATGCTAAAAGGCTGAGTTACAGAAAGGAGATTTAGAAGAAAATGTAGACAAAAAGGTGAGAAAACAAACTTGTTCTACTGTTTGCAAAGCAGCTACTTCAGCCAGCTAAGGACTTTCTGCAAGTAATTCATCTGTTGGTAAATAATCAGTTCAGCAACTGTTATAGGTACTGCCTATGTGCAAAGTGTCCTTGCAGTTGATGACAGTTTGCTTGCAGGACAACTGCAGATGTTGAACAAAGTTTAGCCCAAGGGTATAGCAATTATATTGTGTATTACAGTGAAATTAAACAAACAATAATAAAAAAGTGTGAGACAGAATATCTTATGCCTTAAAATTATTCTGTATTACAGTTTTATGAAAACCTGTCTTGTATTCAAAGGTATCACTTATTTAAATGCTGCATATCTTTTTAAATGGGTGTAGTTATGTAGAATTTAGAGGGTATGATCTTAACCCTGTCTAAGCATTTGGTTCTTAATAATTTGGCACAGGTGTTTTTCCTACAACAGTGAATTCAGTGAAAGCAATGTGACTGTAGGACATTTTTTCCACTGGATCTCTGAGAGGAAAGAAATCACCCATCCTGATTTTTAAAGTTTTTTGAAATTATTTTCAGTGAAACAAGTCCAACCTTATGTAGACAGGTTCTTGTAATCAAAGGTATGTTTGCAGGGCTGTCATATAAGGAGATTTTTAGTAAACACAATATATTTAGTAAATACTGCTCCCTGTCTTCCACATGTAAAATATCTTTAAAGCATGCATTGCATTTTCTACCATATTTCTAAAAACATATCATTCATTTTTCAGCCATTATAGGGCTACTTCCAAGATTATTTAAATTTTATAGAAAGAGCAAATGATGAAAATGCCCATTAGCTCCTTGAATTCTCTAACTTCTGATTACATATGTATCCCAAAGACTAGTCTCAGCATGTTACCATTACTGTACCTTTTCCTCTCTCCAAATAATATATTAACCTTATAAATAAATAAAATTGATAATGCATCATTTTAAGAATTAAATTGACTTTTCAGTAAGTATCAGAAGAGCTTCCTGATTTCACAGGAAAAACTGCCAACTATTTGTGACTGGGAAAAAACTGTGCACTTTTACAAAACTAGCAGTTTTCATAACTATTACTCATAGACAAGAATGAAATAGGCCTTTAGGATGACTGACCAGGTTAGACACTTCCAGGTGCTTCCTCTGCTTCTCATTTCAACTTCCCTTGCACTTTAGCAGTTTACATCCTTTACTTCATTTCAACTTTTGTTTTTCAACTACTGCAGTTATTTCAAAAAGGTGATTTCAGTGCTTCATCTTAAAGATTAGTTGTTGTTTTCATTTGAAATTTAAAGCCTCTTTTTTTTTTTTTTTTTTCCATAATAGGACTGTCTGTATACTTCAGGCTTGTGAAGGTTCTGCTCCATACCTGAGTTCTTGCTTTCCCCCTCGCAGTGGGAAGAAGTTGAAGGTGGTTGGATGCAATAGCCTTTCTGCTAATTGCATCCAATCATGCGGCTTTTATGTCTTATGCATGGTCTTTAAAGTGCCCTTATCACACTAATTCTTGAATCATCAAGGTTTAAAATACCTCATTAGAGGAATACTCCTCATCAATCCTCTGGCAAATCATGTCTCCCTCTTACAAATGTTTCCCTCTTCCATGTAAAAGAGGAAAGAGGCTCTGTGCCAGCCAGCCTCATCAGCCCTGGGGTTCTGTGTAGCTATGATTCAAATCTAGCTTAGATCTACTACTCTGGTGTAGAAAATACCAATTAAATTTGTTTAATTTCAGCCTCTCTGAATACTGGTGGTATTCAGTATCTATGTAGCCTTGTGCAGACACATGGTTAACTATGTTCCCTACCAAATACTTCCTCTAATCTATTACTGGCAGAAAGGGGAGAGTTGCCAGCCCCATTTTTTTGTAGCCATCTTCAGAGAGATGAAACCTGAGTCTGTTGCCTCATCGCTTTCCAAAATAGGACATTTGCCAGCATTGATGGGAGAGGTAACAAATGAGAAAGGAAGGAGCAAAAACTGTGACTGATGTAGTGGGGAGCAACAGATGTCATGTGGAAAATTGAGATATACTCAATAAGCATTTCCTACAAACATTTTCATACTGATGTAACTTAGTTATGGGGTGTGAGATATGAGCATATGAGAGAGTGAGTGAGTTTAAGCTTTGAAGCATTTCAGACAGATGGAAGTTTGTGGTTTAAGACAATTTACGTGGAATTAAAGGGTAGGCTATTCACAGTTTGATGATTCTGCTTTAAAAGTGATTCTGTGTTATAATTAAAGAGATTTGGTGAAAGAATAGAAGGAACTGGGCTAAAGAATCAAGGGAAGTAAAGGTCAAGAGCTGCTGCTGCTGTTACAAGCTTGTCGTACATAAAGAGCTATACCCTGTAAAAGAACATAATACATAGAAATACAGGTTACTCTTGTGATATCAACTTCAGCTTACACTGTTGACAAATGCAGATTTATTTGAATACATTATTAAAAGCAGTATCACCATAAATGAATGAGAAAAAGTGCTTTGATATCTGTATTACAAATTGTATTAATGTTCATACTTATCAGGATCAGAAAAAAACCTGAACCTCAGTCAGCACAGAAAAAAAAGAAAATGCTGTAATACTGTGAGTTTTATTTGCCAAATAAGCTTTTAGCACTTGAAGCGATGTTCAATTACTTTGAGTATTGCCCTTTGTATAAAAGGAAAGATGGGTTATTTGCAAAGTACTGACTCTGCTAAAATGTGTTGTTCAGAGCTTGCCTTCCCATGTTTCTTTCTATTTGATGTATTTCATACTCAGAGATCACTCACCTTAATGTTACCTGTTTTGTAGGCACCTCTTGCTTCTATTCTTATCAAACTTAAAATTAATAAAAGTAATTGAATTTTTGCAAAGCCATTTATTTTAATGCTTTACTCTTGGGGCTTGTATCAATTGAAATAAAAACCCTGTGGTTTCATCTGAATGACAGTGCTTCTGCACAGTCACTTGACTGTGGTCTCTGGTGTTATTATTTCTACTATTTCCAGAAG